CCAGGATGGTCTCGATCTCTTGACCTCGTGATCCACCCGCCTCGGCCTCCCAAAGTGCTGGGATTACAGGCTTGAGCCACCGCGCCCGGCCGCAGATGTTTTTCTTACTGCCCAAGGACCTTCCCTGAGTCACACACTTCCCCGATACCCTTAGAGATACCTCTGTCACTAAGTGATTTACTGCCTTTGTTCAACTTCTGTAACTCTTCCCCTCCTGCGCCACATGTAAATTAGCAAATCAATGAAAGCCAAAGACTGTAACGTCAGATGTCCAGCCAATGGGCAATGACACAGTTTTACCTCTGCTCGCCTTTGGGTTATATGTCTTTAAAAAGGGAAAGAAACTGCTTTCGGGGGAGCTTGGCTTATTTTTTTTGAACACGAGCCAACCAGTGCTCCACAGCCAGCTAGATAAAAGTCTCTTCCTTCCTCACTCTGGTGTCTGAGGGGCTACGTCAGCGGCTTTTCCTGCAACAATGTGAGCACATATATTTGTGAGGGGTAAAAGCCTAGAATTGAAATAGCTGGCCAGGCATGGTGGCACATACCTGTAATCCCAGCACTTTGGGAGGCCATGGCAGGCAGATCACCTGAAGTCAGGAGTTTGAGACTAGCCTGACCAACATATAGTGAAACCCTGTTTCTACTAAAAAATACAAAAATTAGCTGGGCGTAGTGGTGCACACTTGCAATCCCAGCTACTTGGGAAGCTGAGGCAGGAGAGTCACTTGAATCTGGGAGACGGAAGTTGCAGTGAGCTGATCTTGCGCCGCTGAACTAAGTCTGGACAACAGAGCCAGACTTTCATTCAAAAAAAAAAAAAAGAAAAAAGGAAATAGCTGGATCAAGGGATTTTTTCATTCCCATTTTACAGGTGAGATACATGCCTTTAAACCTTTGATATTGATAAATTTATTTCCAAAGAAGTTGTATCAATTTATACTCTCAATAACAAAGTATATCTGCCTATTCATTTGTAAATACAGTATTATACAAATTTTTGATATTTGCCAAGCTGACACACAAAAAATGGTGTCTTATAGTTTTAATTTGCTTATTTGGAAAGATGATAATATGACAACAAATAGTTACATAAGCACAGTACTTTCTCAGTATTTTTACTTTGTATATAAAGTACTTGAATAAATACAAATACTTAAAAATACTTAAAAGGTATTTATAGTAATTCCATAATTATATTCTTGTCCACTGTCCATTTTCTGTTAAGGAAATCAAACTTCTTTATGATAAAAATTGAAAATAGTTTTCCCCAGCCATATTTTGTCTTTCAACTTTATGGTATTTTTTGTTTGCCGATTTCTAAAAATGTAAAATATATTACTTTGAAAAAATTAAAGCTCTAGGGATTGTTTTTTGCTTAGAAAGATTAAGATGTGACTTCCAATGTAAATTACTTTTTGAGACAAATTACTTTTTATCTCATGTTTACACATAACTTTGTGACTCATCTAGATTCTATTTTTATGTACAGTGTGAGATAGAGATTTGATTTGATTGTCTTTCCAGTGGCTAGCTGTTTTCAACAACACCATTTCTCTTCTGATTAGAAATGACACCTTTCTCACGTTCTAGATAACCCAACACATTTAAATCCTTTTCTATAATTTATACTGTTCTAGTGATCTACTTCCTTATTTGGGTGTCAATACCAAATTATTTCATTTACTGTGGTCTATTTATTTATTTATTTATAATTTATAATTTTTATTTTTTTAGACAGATTTTCGCTCTTGTTGCCCACACTGGAGTGCAATGGCGCCATCTCGGCTCACTGCAACCTCTGCTTCCCAGGTTCAAGCGATTCTCATGCCTTAGCCTCTTGAGTATCTGGGATTACAGGCATGCGCCACCATGCCTGGCTAATTTTTGTAATTTTAGTAGAGATGGGATTTCTCCATGTTAGTCAGGCTGGTCTTGAACTCCTGACCTCAGGTGATCTACCCATCTTGGCCTCCCAAAGTGCTGGGATTACAGGAGTGAGCCATGGTGCCCGGCCCTATTGTGGTCTTATAGTATATTTTAATAGGTGATATTGGTTTTTCTCAGGATTTTATGGTTATTTTTTCATGTGAGCTTTGGAATCAGATTGTCTTACATTAAGAAAAATGTCTATTGGTATTTTAAATTTTATTTAAAAACTTAAAAACTTAAATGTTGCCAGGCGCGGTGGCTCAAGCCTGTAATCCCAGCACTTTGGGAGGCCGAGGCGGGTGGATCATGAGGTCAAGAGATCGAGACCATCCTGGTCAACATGGTGAAACCTCGTCTCTACTAAAAATACAAAAAATTAGCTGGGCATGGTGGTGCGTTCCTGTAATCCCAGCTACTCAGGAGGCTGACGCAGGAGAATTGCCTGAACCCA